AGCACTTTCCCTTTCAACACCTTTGATACAAGCATATGGTCTTCTCTTTGACACATTAGTATGCTGTCCCAAGCCATGGTTAATGTTGAACCATCCTTGCCTACTTGGAATCAATCCTACTTGGACACGGTGTATTATTTTTTCATTATAATACTGTATCAGTGTGGTAGTATTTAGGAATATCATTTTTTGCATCTATATTAATAAATTGTGAGATTAGCCTATAGTTTTAACCTTTGTGCTGTCTTTAAGTTTTTATATATGGATTGTGTTAGCTTGGAAAAATGAATCTTTTTTGTATATGCCCTAAACCAAATCCCAAAACCAAACCCATTGCCTTCAGGTCAATTTCTATAGTGTCTTGTAGTGACCCTGTAGCACAAAGTATGACTACCCCCATAGAGTTTCCAAGGCTATAATCTTTATGGAAGCAAGGAGCTCTGGTGGGGTAGAGGGTAAGGCATTTGGCTGCTACTGACCTCAGTAATTCAAACCCACCAGCTGCTCTATGGAAGAAAGATGAGGCAGTCTGCTTCTGTAAAGATTTACAGCCTTAGAAACCCAGTGGGGGCTGCTATGAGTTGGAATTGACTTGACGGCATTCGGTTTGGTTTTGGAATCTTTGTGGAAGCAGGCTGCCACGTCTTTCTCTTACAGAGCAGCTGGTGAGTTTGAACTGCCAACTTCTTGGTTAGCAGCCAAGCACTTCACCACTGCACCGCCAAGGCTCCTGTGTATGCCCTAAATTCAAAAACAAACCCACTGCCATCAAGTTGATTCTGGCTTGTATGCCCTGAGACAGTTTAGTTACAGATGATCTGGCTCATAGCAACCCTTCTTTGGGTTTCTGAGGTGGTATCACTACGGAAGTAGATTGTCCCATCTTCCTTCTCAGGAGTGGCTGGTGGGTTTGAACCGCTAGCCTTCTGGTTAGCAGTAAAGATGCCTTAGGCACTACACCACCAGAGATCCTTAAATGAACTAGCCCCAAAGAAATACAAACAAATAAAACCTAAAAGTACTTGTCCAAGAAGCTAAATGGACTAGGCATTTATTTTTTTTTAAAAAATCAGTTTCTTCAAGTGATTGGGCTGTTCATATCTTGTCTGTTTTTGAATTAATTCTCATAATTCATGTTTTCCTAGTAAAGTGACCATTTTGTTGAGATTTCCCCATTGATTAGTGTAGAGTGTCTTGTATTTTCTTACTAGTTTTTTTTATATCATCTCTTCCACCTCTGTGGTTGTATCTTTTCATTCCTTCTCTTGATATCTGTGCCTTTTGAAAAACAGTCTTGCCCGAGGCTTGCCTATTCAGACACCAGTTCTTGGCTGTATTTATGTCATGCCTCCTTTTCTGTTTCCTGCTTCTTTATTTTCTGCTTTTGTCTTTGCCAATTCCTTCCTCCTTCCCCTGGGAATATTTTATTGTTTCAGTTTGGTTTGTTTTCGGTCTGGCTTCTTGAATTGAATGCTTTCGTGATGCACTGACTATCTGAATGTTGGCTTTAGAAGTCAAGGTTCAGAAGCCTGTGGAATGATGATAGAAACTGTTGAGGTTCAGACAGGACCAAGAGCACCTGTTGAATCTTCAGCCCCTGTAGAATCTTCAGCCCCTGTAGAAGGAAGAACCCTATCTCAGGAGGTAGGAGAACTGGCTTCCAGTCTCAGTCTTGCCTCAAACCAACTGAGTGTCCTTAGGCAAGTTTCTTCTCTCAGGACCCTCCTATCCATCCCAGACAGCCAGATGGGATGTGGGTCTGAGTGAGGTCTAGCCTTGTGAGTGAGCTCCCCTGCACCATGCAGCCTCCCATTAGGAAAATAGCTTCCATCCTTCAAGAGGCCAACTTGGCCTCTCTCTGATGTGGTCCTGGGCCCCACTCCAACACACACACCATAAAAACTGGGCAGTTGACTTGCCTATACACGACGGGGCCAAAAAGCACTGACCCAGTGTGTCCTGGAGGCGAGGCTCCACCTGAGTGTCCCAGCTGAGAGGCACTTGGCGCCTCTGGGCTCATGGACAGAGGCACAGCCAGGCCCACATGTGAAGCAGCTGAGGAGAGTGGCTTACGCTTGTGGACTTTGATGCTGGATTGCTCGTGTTCAGATCCCTACTGGGTAACCTTGGACAAGTTATATGACCTTCTTCTGCCACGTTTTCCTGTAAAATGGGGATAGTGTCAGGTAAAGTAAGGAGCTCTGGTGGCACAGTGGTTAAAGCATTCGGCTGCTAACCAGAAAGTCGGTGGTTCAAACCTACTAACCTCTCCCTGGGAGAAAGGTATGGCAGCCTGCTTCTGTAAATATTACAGCCTCAGAAGCCCTCTGGAGCAGTTCTGCTCTGTCCCCCAGGGTTACTATGAGGCAGAAACGACTTGATGGCAGTGGTTTGTTTTTGTATCGGATAAAGTAGAAGGTGATAAAAAAGAGGGACACCCTTAATGAGATGGACAGACACAGTGGCCACAACAATGGAGTCAAACACACTGGTGGTCATGAACATGGCCCGGAATTGGACAACGCTTGGTTCTGCTCTCTGTAAGGTCGCTGTGAGTCGGAGGTGATTCCACAGCAATGAACAGCAGCATCAGTGCCTCACCTCAGAGGGCTGTGCAGGTTCAGAGTTCGTAATTTAAAAGACTTAGAACAGAGCCTGGTGTTTTGTAATTTCTGTGTAAGTTGTTGTCATCATCAGGGTGTCAGCCCAGGGGTGGGGTCGGGTGTGAGCTGCTTCCTTGGTTGGTGGAAGAGCGAGTTCCTTGAAGCAGCCTCAGCCTTTGGTTTCTTCTCCACCTGCCTCTACCAGTGTGGCCATGACCTGCAGTGTTTCACTGAGCACAGTCTGACACTTGTGCTTACCTTGTTGCCTGAGCGATCTTTTCAGAAGCCCCCGTGTCTCAGTGTCCCTGTAAGAGCTGTGGAAGAGATGCTTAGTGGGGCGTGTGCTTCCTCCGCCCACCCCACTCCCTGTGATATTGGGCTGAGAGTTAGGAAGCTTGGGCTAAGGACTTGCTCTGCCACCTGCTCCCTGTGGGACCCGGCCCAGTGCTTCACCCTCTGAGTCCCACTTTTCCCATCTGCACAATGGCAGCAGGAGGGGTCGGGAAGATCGCCAGGAGCCTTTCCCACACTGATTGCTTGTCACGGATGGAGGCGATGATTGTAAAACCCAAAGAGTCCTTCTCCTCCCATGGCCCTACTTCTTTCATTCACTTAACAAAGATGTGTGGGCCTGTGTCTGCTGACCATGGGGCACAAAGGCCAAGTCCCTGGAATTTACACTCTGGAGAAAAAGGCTGCCATAGGGTTCTGGATGCTGGGTTGAGGAGGATGAGGGGGAGGCCCTCCTGGGGAGTCAGAATGGCTGTGACAGCTGCAGGTTATCTGGGGATCAAGGACCCCCCAGAGGCAAAGCCTCAGGTGAGGAGACATGAGAATGGCCGTCGCAAGCCAGAATACCCCATCCAAATCCAGGGAGTGGACAGTGGAGGATCCAGGGAGCCTCCTGTCTGGCAGCTGCCTCATGCTCTGGAAGGTTCTGGAAGGTGAGCCAGACACTCTGAAATGAGGCAGCGTCTGGATGCTGACTGGACACTGTGAGTGGCTGCCACCATTCAGGAAACATGCACTGGTACATACCATGGCATCTTTGGGAGATGGTGGCAGAGGTGGCCCCTTTGGCCACATGTTCAGAGTCTGAGGTGAGGCCTCCACATCCATGTGCTGCCTGCACTGTCCTGCTGGGGTCAAAGGGATGCTTTGGAGGGGCTACTGGGGCCCAGCCTGGCTTCATGTGGTAGGAGCTGCTCACAGGCACCCCTGAACTCTACTGAGAGCCCCAGTTCTCCATGTCCACACCCAGGTGGAAGGTCCTCCCTCCCTCCCCTAGTACTCGTTTTCAGCACACTTCGCAGGGTGGCTGACAGTGGGTGTGCCCCTTTCCTTCAGGTGCAACCTCCAATTCCAGCCACCAGGGTGGAGTCTTGTCTCCAGAGCCCGATAGAGAATCGCGGGACAGTCTGATTTCCCAGCCTCTGGGTTATTGGTCTTATCCATAGTCACCATGTTCCATGCGTGGAACTAGCACTAGGGGTTTGAAAGGGCTTCAAACTCCTGCCCTTTTCTTAAGAGGCTGATAGACCCCAGTGGTGTCTTCCTGACAAAGTGCTGCTACCTGCTACCTCGAGGATTTCCTCCATCTGCTCCAGAACGAACCACACTGGGTGCTCCCTTCATGTGTGTGTTTACTAAGAACCTACTGTGCGCTGAGCCCTGTGGTGGAGACAGGGGTCCTGGGTGGGGAGTCAGGCATCACCCCCGCCCTCAAAGAGCTGAACCCCAGAGGTGGAACCCCCCCAGGAGTGTCCATTGCTTGGGGTCCAAGGCCTTGTCTCTCTTGCTCACCTCTGTGTCCCCAGCACCCAGAACAGTGTTAAGTATCAAGAGATGCTTCTTGCTTGTTGATTCAATGAGTGGTAGTGGGAAGAATTCAGTTGAGAGGCTCTTTGCCACCAGGAGGAGGAGGAGGAGGAGGAGGAGGAACTGGAGCTGGGCTGTGAAGGCTGGCTGGGCTTAGGTCTTGTGCAGATGGAGGAGATGGCACTCGGCGCCAAGGGCCCAGCAGAACAAAGGCGTGGAGTCCGGGTCAGACCTGGAGAGTCGAGAACCAGATAGGGTGGCCGCAGCAGGGGCGGACTGGAGGAACGTTTGCACCTACACTGTCCTACCTTCTCAAAACTCCCTGGTTTTCTGTACACCCAGTGGAGCCTGGCCTCGGGTTCTTTTTGAGTGGAGCCGGTATGGTTGGAGGTGTGAGAGTGTGTGTGTGTGTGTGCGCGTGCGTGTGTGTGATCATGAGTGAGTGATGCGGGGAGCCGGGGGCACTTTGGCATTCAGCGTCCAGACGTGACAAATGTGCAGAAGTGTTTGGGGAGTCACGGACATGAGCTGCTGGCCGTCGAGACGCTCACCCTGTGATTTGTTGCTTTGATTCCTCAGGCCGCGACTTGGCGAGCACGACCCTCCCTGGGTACCCTCCGCACGTCCCCCCCGCCGGACAGGGCAGCTACTCAGCTCCGACGCTGACAGGAATGGTGCCTGGTGAGTTTGTACTGGTGGTGTCTCTGCAGCAGGCAGCAGACGGGGCCTCGGGGGGCGCCCCCTAAACAGCCCGGGTGACCTCTCTGCTTCTGAGAAGCGTACCTGAATAAATCTGGCAGAGGTCTGCATGCTGGACCTCTTCTTCTGCAGCTGGGCCACAGTGGGACCAGACTCAATCTGCAGCAACTCCTGGGAGGACAGGAGAGAAGGAGCGACACCGGACCATGCAAATAGACCCTCGCTGGCTGGTGAGGGTCTGAACACAGAGCGGGGCAGGGCCTGGCCAAAGGCAGGTGGAGCCGAGGCCTCCCGGCCCTCTCTCCACCACTCAGAGAACCCCCGAAATGCTCCTGGCTCCTCACTCCTTGGGGTTTAGGACCATTTCTCAGGACAGACAGGATGTTGGCGGAAGGGTTTACCACTTGACTCCAAGCTGAACACCCTGTGGCCATGGGAACCTCCTTGGGCCAGGGACATTGGAAAAGAAGTCACCTTGCCCCCTCCTCTTGTGGGGTGGCATGGGGACAAGGCACACATCACCACAGTGCTGCTTGTTCACGGACTAAGGGCACTTGCAAGGCAGAGATACCCAAAGTATGGTTTTGGGCAAGTGTTTTTGAAACCTCAGGGCGAGCATCAAGGATTTGTTGAGTGGTCTTCTACCTCCCTTATGGGTGGGTGGTCTTCTGTTTGGAATCGTGTGCAGGGGCACACCACTGGTTTCAGTGCTCGGGGCCTCCAGGGGCCTTGGTCCTCTCCCAACATACTGGTGACTCTGGTGGGCACTTCACCCTGTGCCCACCCTGCACCTTCTCAGAGCCTCATAGCAGCTGGGAGAAGCAGACAGATGAGGATGACTCCTCCCACTTGACTGGTGAAGAAACTGAATCCATAGAGAGGCTGAGATGGGCCTAAGTGCCCAGCCAGGAGGAACCAGAGCCAGAGCTAGATGCCAGTGGGAACCACTCTTGGATCAGGCAAGAAGGACTCTGCTCTGTGCCCCTCTCTTTAGAGAGCCCTGCTCTGGTTCTGCTGGGGCAGTGAGCCCCCCATGGGCTGCGGGGTCTGCGTGGCCAAGGGGACGTGCTCCCTTGGGGCCTGTGCCCCTCCTTCTAGGCCACCCTGGGGTCCTGTACAAACAGCCCCCAGTTTCTTTCAGCCTCTTCCCCAGGGCCTTCCTCTTAAGGGTGTGGTCCTAGGCCGGAGAGCTGGCTCTTTGTAGAGGTTGGGAAGCGAGCTTGGGTGTGATGGCTGGGTGTCCACACTGGAGTATGTGAGCCCCTGTGAGACGGTGGGTGGAGCTGGGGGTGGGGAGGGGAACGTGCAGATCGTAGCTGGGGGTGAACTTTCCCCACGAAGCCACATCCTGGCATGGAACACCCAGGAGTCGAAGCTCCTGCATCCTGGCCTTCCGGGTTGTTACCAAGGTGAATTTAACAAGGTAGGAGGACAGAACATGTTTCATTTAACGGTTTGTTAGCTTGATTTATGACTTTTAAATATGAGACATATGGGAGCTGGTCTCCATGTGTATTCTTGCCCTGGGCCTTGCCAGAGCCGCGAGTGGGTGGGGGGCTCCCTGCCAGGATCGCGCCTGCAAAAGCCTTGGCCTTCTCTGCTGCGCGGATGGTCCCATGGTGGACCACAGGGAAGTACTGTGCACACAGCCAACGGGGTGGTGGAACATACCCATCCTTCTCCCCTGCTGGCAAGTTCCGGTGGCCTTGGACCCAGCAGTATCCATTGATGGCCCTTCACGTTTGTGTGACATTTTATAGAATGTGCAGAATTTCCCAGAGTCCTTTGGGCTTGTAATCCTCTGAGATGGGCAGTGCAAGGGATGTTACTGTTTCCAGAAGGGGACTCTGAGGCTCTGAGCAGTTAGGAAATTGCCCAGATCTTCCTACCCTGAACTTGGGAAGACCTGAACCTGGGTTTTGCCCTCTGACTCAGAACCCCTGCTGCGCTGTGCGACCTGGCTGTGGTCTCTCGGTCTATCAGCTTCAACTTCTCCATGACGGAAGGAAGGGGGTGTGGGAGCAGCCCGGGCCCTGCTCTGAGGGCATGTCGGTGGGTGAATCAGGGGCCAGCCCTGCTTATCTCTGAATAGACTTGTTTCAGAGAAGCAGCTGAGCTTGCCTGACTTTATCCAAACTGAGCCTGCTGTCTGGCCCCCAACATTCCTCCTGGCTTAATTCCCAGGCTCAAGATGCAAATGGCTGTGGGCCTGACAGAGCCTTCAGCAGAAATGCGTGGCACCTCTTGGCACATTAATGGTGGCAGCAGGAATCACAGGCCCAAACAAGGGATGGTCTAACCACACCCGCTGGTAGCAGCCACCAAGGGCAACCACAGAGCCATCCAGGCGCCATGGTCCCCCAGGACCATGCAGGGGCCATGGCCCAGGAGCAGGGGGCTTTGCTGCAGCCCCGTGGGCCCCCCATCTCACCCCTCCGCGGCCCCTCGCTCCTCCTCCTGTGCACGCCTCTGTCTCTCTTCTTTTCTAAGCATCCTTGACGCTCTGGGCCACACCGGTCTCCAAGCTGGGATTCCGAGCTCAGTGGACACAGCACTTAGTCCCTGTTCCCTAGTGTCCAGGCCACAGCCTTGTCTTTAGACTTCTGCTTCCAACATTATTTACTATCCCTGTTTCCCGGGATTTCCCAGAGCAGCCCAGCTCGCACGTCATCTTCACCGGGACTGCCCCTTGGCTTGCCAACCAGCACAGAGTCAGGGGCCCCTTTCACTGCAAAGTGGAGTTCTGAGCCTGCCATCCCAGCACCGCTCTGGCCTGGCCCCAGCCTGCCTTCTGGGCTCTTCTCCCGGCCTCCCTCTCCTCCCAAGGCTACTGGCTCTCACTGGTCTCAGTTGACCATCAGCATCCTTTCTCATGAGGTGCCTTTGGCTTGGACCGCTTCCTGCCTTGGCCTGTGAAAATCCTTCAGGACCAAATGCAGATGTCACCTGCCCCAGGAGGCCTTCTGATGTGCGCCATGATGCTTTGTATCTGGCTCTGTTATGCCTCTTGGCTCAGTGGGTCTCTGTCCAGGTAGCTATGCCTGGTCCGTGTTCCCCACTGGAGGTGAGCTCTTGGAGGGCTAGGCCTTCTTCCTAATCAGTTTTCTCTTCCCTTTACAGCTCCAAGAACATAGTAGGTCCTTTCTGTGAGTGTTGGTTGAGAGGGAAAGAGAGGAAGGAGGGATGGAGAATTGGCCTCTGCGTTAGTTTCTTATGGCTGCTGTAACAGTTTCCTGCAAACTTGATGGCTTCAAACAACAGAAATTTATATTGTCACAGCGATGGAGGCTAGAAATTCAAAATCGAGGTATTGGCCATGGCCCCACTCCCTCCAGAGGCTCTAGGGAAAATTCTACTCCTCGTCCAGCTTCTGAGGGCTGCTGGCATTCCTTGGTGTGTGGCTTCGTCCTTCTCATCTTCAAAGCCCACGTCTTTGAATCTCTCTGTCCCATGTTCACGCCCCTTCTCTGCATGTCACATCTCCCCCTGCCTCGTAAGGATTCACGTGCTTGCATTCAGGGCCCACCTGGATCACTGGGATGCTCTCGTCATCTCAAAATCCTCAACTTACTCACATCTGCAAAGACACCGCCCCCCACTAAGGGGACATCCGCAGGTTCCAGGAGTGAGGAGGACGTGGATGCGTCCGGAGAACAGTTCAGCCAACCGAATCTTGCTTGAGGATTTCAGCTTTGTGTCTGTTTGTTAGATGTTGGATTCATACCCTCTTGGATTTCTGAATGTGGTAGGCATTTGCCCTTTCAACCGTGATGATCCTGAAGGTGAGGCCATTGCAGAGCCCCCCAGGGGCACATTGGCAGCGCCTGGGCTGGAGAAGCAAGCTGGCCAAGGCTTGGGGGAGTGTAGTCAGCTTTTGTCTTTCTAAAGCTGTTAGAGGGCAGCGTTCTGTTTCATCTACCTCCTCATCTCTGGTCGGCTGGCGGTGCACCCCAGAGAAAGTGGGAAATCTCTGGGGTTCCCCCCCAGGCTTCGGGAAACCCTTGCTGTCACCTCTTCCATTCAAAAGGGGAAGCATTTGCCTCCAGCACATTCAGAGGAGGGACTGCCTACAGGGAACACTTGGGCTGTTGAACTCTCGGACCTGAGATGGTATTTCCCATCTTTCCACATTAAACGTCAGCTTCTTGGCTTGGACTCGTGTTTATTTTGAGTCATGAGCCTGACATCGGGGTATTGTCTGCCCCTCTGTCTCCAGGGCATCCCCACGTCTGCTGGGCAAGGCTCCTTGGCCTTCCAGAGTGTGTGTAGCCTCAGGTCCTGTGGGTCTGCCGATGCTATATGGGCCTCGGCTGACCAGTTTCGTTGGGTGAAACAAATAAGGCATACTCTCCTAGCTTCGAATAAAGACAGCTTTCAGATTTCCTTTTCATCAAGCCTCAGCAGATGCTAAAACTGTTGCAGCAAAGCCTTCATAGACTGCTGGGTCCCTGTAACTAGTTGATTTCTGCCTGAAGATGTGTGTAAGCAAACAGGTGGCCACAGGTGTTTGAAACTCTTACACATTCTGGCCTGGAGGAGGAAGGAAGGGGAGCTCACAACCTTTTGACCTAAGTAAGTCAACGAAACATGCTGAACATCTTTGAGATGACCCTGTCTAGGAACGCCGTGCCCGTGGCCCTATCTCATGCTCCTCGACCACGGCTCTGTCTTACATGCCCCATCCATGTTTCAGAGTTTTGAAGGTCAGAGGTCAAATGGGTCTTAAGGTCTGTTATCAAGGTGTCAATAGGCAGCTTCCTTCTGGGGGCTTTCGAGGCGAATCCGTCTCTTGCCTGTTCCAGTTTATAGATGCTGCGGGTTCCTGGGCTCCGGGCCCCTGGCTTCACCTTCCAAGCCAGCATTGTCGGGCTGGGCCCCTTACCGCGCTGTCCTCGTCCTGGTTCTCTCTTCCACTTGCAGGCTCCCTTGTGGCTCCACTGGGCCCCCGGGTGGTCCAGGACAGTCTTCCCCACGTCAGGGCC